CAGTGATCCCACCCTCACAGGGTCACCACTGTACCCTTAGGAGCCAGGGCAGAGCGCCCTCTCTCCTGGACCAGGGAGGCCCGAGGTCCCCTGTCACTCCGGCACAGCCGCAGAGCTCCTGGTGGCTCTAACTTCCCAATGGCCAGGCACGTCCAGCCCACCCCATGTGCTCAGGGGTTATCTCGTTCAAGGCTGCCTCCTCCTACAAGGATTCCCTGGCGGTCACTTCCGTCCGGGTCGTGAGGGCCCTTCTGCACTCTGGGCTGAGTCCCTGCAGTTGGGAGGGCCCACGCCAGCACCGTCCCCTCTTGTGAGCCGCCCCTCACCCTCTGCCCGTTTTCTTTTTGGGTGAAGTCCTGGATTTCATCCGAAGCCAATTTCTGTTTGCGACGAGTCCTCTTATCACTCATCGTAACCTTGTCTGACCCAAATCATTCCTTTGCTTTTTTAAAAAAGATGTTGCTTGCTTTTCCCATGTAGATTAGCAACCCGCCTCAATTTTATATGATGTGAGTCGAGAATCAAAACTCATATTTCTCCATTTGAGCCTATATTTGACCCAAACGTTTCGGTATTTAAAATTTTTCGTTGGTTTATTGAGAAGATCCTTCTTCCGATTGCTGTGGTGTGGGGATCCCGGGTCTCCAGGTTCCTAGACGTGGTCATCCTGTCTTAAAGAAGATCAAGTACGGTCTCCAGCGTAAGCAAGTCTCCCACAATGGTAAGGTTTTACTGTGGACTTTGGTGTTTTAGTAAATGGTATAAAAATCTTTACTTTCCGATCACCTGTTTGCTCAGAGCGCACTGAGCCCCAGGGGGTGCTGGATCCACCACCCGCAGATTCAAGGGCCTCATGTTGGTGTTTCAAAGTGATCACTTAACAAGTCCCCTTCTGCCTTTCAACACGGTGACTCTGAACCTGGTGGGGGCGACAGTGGGGGGGCACTGTGACGCGTTGTTTCTTTAAATTTTATTTTGAGGTAGAATGCACAATTTTAACAGAATTCCACGTGGTGAGGACGCTGAGTAGGGGTCAGCCACAGGAACGCTCCCAGGCCGCCTCCGGCTCTTGGAGAGCTGCCGAGAAGGTTCTGGCAAGTCCCCTGCTGGGTCAGAGTTCTCATTTCCCCAGGATAAACCTCCAAGAGTAGTGCAGTCACTGTGCAGTCACAGCTTTTAAAAATCGCCAGGGAAAGAAAATCCGCAGAAAACCAAAGCACGGCCTGGCCCTGTGCCCGGGAGAGGCCCACGGCAATGCTGCTCCTGTCCCTCTGGCTGAGGGCCTCCTGCGGTGTCCCTGCATGCCGAGGCCACACTCCCTGGGCCAACCTCCAGGTCCACCCCCCTCCTGGGAGGGGCAGGTAGACCTGTGCAGGTCTGTCCAGGGTCGCTGGTTGGCTGCCTGAGCTGGGACCGTGCACTGTTGGTGTCTGGCCTTGTGGTCGCAGGAGAAAGTGCAGTTTTCACTGGTCATTAGTATTTTTTTTAAATATTTTTAGTTGTAGGTGGACACGACACCTTCATTCATCTTTATGTGGTGCTGAGGCTCGAACCCAGGGCCCCACACGTGCCAGGCGAGTGCTCCACCACCTTGCCCCAGCCTCAGCCCAGTCTTTTTAATTTTATTTCTGAACGACAGAAACTGTACAGCCGTCCCCCGGTTCCTGAGTCCACGGCGCTCTTTTTCCTTATAGAAAAAGGCCTGGTATCTGCCCAGGACCTGGGCCATGGCGCGGCTCCGCGGGCAGCTCGGTGCCCAGCCCGGCAGGGCGTCTCCTAGACGGTGGTTACTCAGTGTTGCTCGGGGCATGATGACAAGTCTCTCGTGTGTGACCAGCCAGGCTGACGCCCGCTCATTGTTTCCCATCGGGGCTGTGTGGGTGGAGGAGGCAGAACCTGGGGAACGAGCCCAGTGATGTGGACAGGATGTGGGGCGTCCTCTATGCCCACTGCTGGGCGGCGGCCAGCTAGCTAGCGGGTGATTGCACCTGACCTACTTATTTCTCTCGGCAGTGTTGAAACTGCCAAGCCTCGTTCCCAGCCATGGCCACAGGCCGTGCCACACGCCTGTCTCGGCCTTGGGTCTCCTTTCCTCGTTCCTCAGCAGGACAGAAACCTCGACACTCGGCCTCCGCCACCCACATGGGGCCACTTGCTTCAAACCCCAGGCTCAGTGCCGTGGGTGCAACCCGCCCGCTGCCTCTGGGGACGGAGGTGAACAAGTCCCACTGGATCACTGCGTCCCCAGAGGTGGTGAAAGCAGGTTGGAGGGCCTGCTGCTGGGCCAGGGGTAGCCTGTGGCCTGTGTCACAAGGCTGTGGGGAGGACAGGCCTGACTGCCTCCCCCTCCTCAGGGGACGGCCACTCCCTGCAGGTTCCCACACTGGTCCCACCTGTCTGGTGCCTGGTGGAGCACAAAGGACAGCACCCGTCAGGAGCAGTGTCCCCTGGGGGCCACGAGCCAGGCCACTTTCCGAGAAGCCCAGGCTGTGACCTTTCCAACAGTGTGTGTCATCTGTGCCCAGCCCACAGCAGGGGCTGGCACGCCTGTCCTGGCCCCGGGGAGCAGCTTGTGTGGCCTGGTGTTCCCTGGGCACAGGAAAGAGAGCGCCGTGGCCAGTGGACAAGAGGCACCTCCAGCACCTGAGCCCAGAGTCTGGGAAATCCCCCTCCCAGCAAGGCAGCAGGACGATAGCTCACCCCACTTTTCCAGTGAGGGAGCTGAGGCGCAGAGAGGCTCGGTCACCTGCTCAAGACCACACAGCCTTTCAAGGGCAGTGTCAGAATTCAAATGTGGGCCGCGGGGTCCAGGACCTGAGCCCACAGTCATACCTCAGCCTCCTCAAAAAGGCTTCGTTCAGTGTGTGGGAAGGGCGGGAGGCTGGAGCTCCTGCCCCTGGTGCTCAGGCAGGCAGGGTGGGGCGCCAGGAACCCCTGCTGGAGCCAGCCTGGGCAGGCCCCACAGCTCAACCCTGGAGCCGCTGTCTCTGTCCAACCAGTCGAACCC